TCGGCCCCTCGCCGGCTTCTGGCCCGCGTCTGCGGGATCTGGGGCTCTGGCTGCCACCCCGCGCGCAAGCGGCCCCCCGTCCTCCGTGTCCTTCCCCTCCTCCCCTCTTTCACCCTCGCCCTTCACCTCTCTCCCCCCATCCCCCTCGCCCTTCCCCTTCCCCTCCCTCCCCTCCTTCCCCTCCTTCCTCCTCGCCCTTCCCCTCGCCCTTCCGCGTCCCCCTCGCCCGTCCCCTTCTGTGTCCGTCCCCTCCTTCCCCCTCGCCCTTCCGCCCCTCCTGCCTCTGGCCTCCGCCGCCCGATCCGCCCCGCCGAGGCGGTAACCCGCCGCCACCGGTGGACACTCCAGGTGGCGGCGGTGGGGGTGAGCCAGAGAAGAAGCGGAAGTCCAAGCCCGCCCACCCGCTGCCCGCGCCGCTCGGGGAGGAGGGCGTCTCCCGTGACATTTTTTGTTGCTTTTCAAGTCGGCAGTTGTTTTGTTGCTTTTCAAGATATGCAGAAAGAAGCATACATGCAAACAAGTAATAATCAAGACGGCAGGTTTTTCTACCCATTTTCCACCTCTGGGGGTCTTCGCCAGGCCCCAGGGCCGTCAGCATCCGGTCCCCCGGCAGAGGTCCTGACCTTTAGGGATCTGCGCTGTGAAGAAAATCACGATGTCGCATGTCCGGGGCCTCTGCGCTTTCGTATGGCGTCTCCTCATGCCGCTCCCGCCCCTCCCGCTCCTTCTGCCCTCATCTCTTGGATCTTCTCGGCCCATCCCCCAGGCGGGACTGAGCCTATGTTCGAGCACACGTGTGAGGAGGAGGAGGAGGAGGACGAGGAGGAGGAGGAGGAGGAGGAGGAGGAGGAGGAGGAGGAGGAGGAGGAGGAGAGTAGGAGGAAGAGGAGGAGGAGGAGGAGGAGGAGGAGGAGGAGGAGGAGGAGGAGGAGGAGGAGGAGGAGGAGGAGGAGGAGGGAGGAGGAGGAGGAGGAGAAGGAGGAGGAGGAGGTGGAGGAGGAGGAGGAGGAGAAGGAGGAGGAGGTTGGATTTCTTTCACTTTGACTGGAGGTCCTGATCTTCGCCTTGCCCTTCTTATGCCCATCACCTGTGCCGTTGAGACTGTCACAGGGGCATCCGTACTCGGCGTGGCGCTTGTAGCTCCTTGTCTATCATAGCGCTACGTAATACGCTCCACGCACGCAGTGGAAGCATATTGCGGCAAGGTCAACATCAGACGCTGGACAGCAGTCCAATCCCATCGCTACCCGCGTATTTTTTGACACAGAACGAATGGAGCAACATATTTTGAGGGTGGACGCCATGGTTCCAGATGGATGCCAGGCGAAGCGTCGGCAGACCATTGTTGCGATTGGATCACTGGCTGGGGGCTTGACGGTTGCATACTTCACACGTTGTGTATGCGCATGTGTTCTCCTTCCCTCCCTTCCCCCCCTTCCTTCGCCCCCTCTTGATGTTTCTGGCACGATACACATTGAATCATAGATTGCCCGCGCGGTGTTTGGCCGATCCTGCGCTAGATTCCTCGTCCCAGAGGTTCTTGGACGCGTTTCGAAGCCAGAAGAGAGCCTTTTTTTCTGGCCCTTTCGGGTCAGATGGGGCCCTCTTAGAGGCTCTTCGAGCCCGCTGGGGGCCATCCTGGAGGCCGTCTGGAAAGAGGGAGGAGGCTCAATTACGCCCCCCCCCCCCCCCCCTGGAGACCGAGAAGGCGCCTCTTAGAGGCCTCGTGTAACGCTTTCGGGGCGCTCTTGGGGATGTCTTGCTTGGAAGTCCTTCCGAAGCCAAACGGCTGGAAAGCTACAATCATCGAAAACTCTTCGGTGTCTGAAGGGTGTTGGGCTCCCGAGCTCATCCTCGGGCGTGGCCACTTCGGGCCGAGCCACCCCGGGGCTTCTCGGAGATCTTAGAGCTTCCTCTTGGAAGCATGCTGGAGGCCATTTTGCACAGAGTTTGACCAGTAAGTCGCCACCTTAGCCAATCCAGGGCCGTCTTGGCGTGATCTATGGCCATGTTGAACGCTGCGCCGCCTCGACCTGGACCTCGTTATCTCAGTTTTTTTTTTTTTTTTTTTTTGCTCTCTCTCTCTCTCTCTCTCTCTCTCTCTCTTTCTCTCTCTCTCTCTCTGTCTCCTTCTCTCTCTCTCTTTATCTCTCTGTCTTTCTCTCTCTCTCTCCCCCTCCCTCTGTCTTTTCCTGTCTTTCTTTTTCTGTCCCTCTCTCTTTACTTTTTCTTGTTTTTTCCTTTACTGCCCCCCTTTCTCGCTCTCTGCTCCCTCCCTGAGTCCGTGTCCCCATGTCTCCTGTCAAAGCAGTTCTCGCATGCTCCTCTCCCCCCCCAGCAATCACACAGCATGATGAATACTTCTCCCCTCTCTCCTGATATTGCCTTGTGCGGAGGTGCCTCCATCCCGTCAGTTTGCACACACACATAGGACCCCAAAACACGTGTGTCTTATGCTTCGTTTTCGTTTTACAGTTGGATCGTTGTTGGTACTTCAAACGATGCTCCCGCTGCAGCGTTGTCCGCATTTCAAGATCGGCGCTCTGCTTCCGTCGTTGATTTTTGCGCCCTCGCCCCAGGGTGGGCCACATTTCTGGATCCTGTTCGTTCCTCGTCGTCGCCCTCCCCATCCTCAGTCTTCCCCTGGTCCTTTTGCTTCTCCTGCCTGCTGTTTTTTCACCCTCCAGGGTATCCTGCTCCTTGGCTCCTCCTCGCCCAGGGCACAAAGCCTCGTTTCTGATTGCACATCGCGCGATGGGGTCATTTTGGGGATCAAGGTCATCCAGGACACTCCAGGCAGCGGACAGACACGAATTCACCGCAATGGGAAGGGATGCTTCGGAGTGGTAGGATGTGAGATGTGATGCGAGCGCGCCAAGCTTGATTCCCCCCCCTTCCTCCTCTCCATTCCTCTTGCCCTTCCCCCTCTCCCCCTTCTCCCCGGGCCGCCTATGAGGTGGCTCAGTGGCAGTGGATGTCAGGCACATCTCCCTCCCATGCCCGCGCGCGGCCAGGTGGGACGAGGGCGGCAAGGTGCCCGACTGGCTCGCGGACCCGTCTTCCTTCTCCTTCCCTCCCCCTCAATTTGTCGCTCGGCGCATAATCGTTAGATACTAGTCCCACAGTGTCTGCACGAAACGCGCGTCGAGCTACGTACACGGTTGTGCCTCACGATGTGATTGGGGCTGCTTTACAAAAATCACCTCTTCCGTCTGCTTCTCCTTCCCTCTCTTCCTCCCTTCTTCCCTCCCACTCCTGATCCTCATGGTTTGTCGATTGTATTTCGGCGTCGCGCACAAGGGTGTGGTACGGGGGGCCAGCCTTCTTCGAAGACTTCGGGCCCGTCTAAGGAGGCCTGTGGCTTCTAAGAAGCCCCTCGCCTTCTCAGAAGGCCACACCGCTCTGCGCGCCGCCAAGTATCCGTCAGCGCCGCCACCGGGCTGCACAGTCGTTCCGACTTCTTCCTTCGCGGGTGCCTCACATCCTCGTGCCTGCTCAACTTTGCAATTCCGCAAGTCCTTCCTCCCTCCCTCCTCCCTCATCCCTCCTCGCTGCTTCCTCCTCTTGCAGACTCTGGCCATGGCACACCTGCTCGCAGCCCCCACCAGGTGCTGGCGCCCCAGCCTGCGTTCCGAGCCACCACCTTTGACGCCCCTGCCCAGCCGCTGGAAGCGAGGCGCCACGCACCGTGCCCGCGGCCTGCAGGCGGCCACACCTGCAGCCCCCAGAGGCCCCCCTGCCTCCCCGACTCCCTGCGCCTTCCCCGCCCCCGCCCCGCCCCCCCGCCCGCGCCCCCCTCTTGCGCCCCCTCTCGGCGGCGCGGCGCGGCGCGTGCGCACGCAGGCCACCCCGCGGCTGCATCCCCGGTGCGCCCCGCAGGACCTGGTGCCCGACGCCAACAAAGCCCCGAAGCCGCCCCCAGGCCGCGGGAGGGCTCGTGCGGAGGGCTCGGCGTGGTGCCCCCCCCCCCCCCTCCTCACCTCCACGAGAGGGGGAGGACCCTGCCGCTCTTCCTTTCCCTGTCCCCCAAGACGTGCTTGCGCCGTGCCCAAAATCAGGACGGGAGGGTCTTGGCCGTTTGTCGGCCCCCTGGGGCCTTTGCTGGGCCCCAGGGCAGTCAAAAAACGAGTCGGGACGAGAAACCGACCCTGGGGGAAGGGTCGGGATTTCTGGGGGCCGCGTGCTGAACAAGTCAGACATCCCACGTGTCTCCTTCCCTCCCTCTCATTTCCTTCCCCTCCTCTGTCCCCCCCTGGTTGTTCTGGCCCTCCCCCTGTCGCCTCCTCGTCCCCGAGGCTGCGAGAGGTGCGTGCAGGGGCTTCGCCGCGGGGCGGTTGGCACGGTACCACGGACGACGACGACGACGACGACGACGACGATGACGAGGAGGAGGAGGACCATGACGAGGACGAGGACGAGGACGACGACGACGATTGTTTTGGTGATGGTGACAATGACGGTGACCGTGATGACGGCGAAGATGCCGACGATGACGGCATGTGGATCGGCGGCACGTCCAGGGGGGAAAGCAGAGGTGACGGGTCTTCAGAAGGCTCAGAAGGCCTCTGGCCTTCGACATGTGAGAGAGCTTCTGAGAGAGGCCAGATCGTTTCTGAGAAGCCCCGCCGCCTTCGAGAAGGCCTGCCCCCTCTCACCATGCCCCCTCCGCGCGCCGCCGAGTGGAGGAGTAACTGCTGTGGGTTGGGACGACGGCGAGGATGACGCCGTGCAGCTGGAGTGAAGGGGCCCAGGGACACACAAGTACATAAACACAAATCTCAGGGTTCCCCATCTTTTCCATACGTCTGGAGTTTCGTCGTCCCCTCCACTTCCCATATTTCTTCCGTGTTTTCGTGGGAATCGACGATATGTGTGTCTGTTTTTTTTTTTCCCCCCTCAGTGAGGGTGAGAGGGCGTCGCCGACCGGAAGGCATCTCCCCCGACAACTACAAGGTCCTCAGGCTGGAGGGCTCGCAGGCTCCCCCGCGTGCCCGCCAGGGGTGTGCGCCGCGGCCGCCTCTCCCCCTGCTCCGTTCGGCCCCCGTTCCTCCTCTCGGGAGGGAGAGTAGCGTCCTTCGCCTGCTAACGAGGGTCCTGGGGGTCAGGACAAGGTCGGCCCAACTCTTTCAGCGTGCCGCTCCTCGCCCTCTCTCCTGAAGCCGGGCGGCTCTTCCGCAGGAGCACGCGGATGTGCTCCCCACGGCGTCGTGTCTTTGACCTGGTCCCTGCGCGCGCCCGCCCGCGCCCGCTGGGGCGCCCGCTGCCGCCGACCCGGGCCGGCCCTCCGCCGCCCCCGGCCCGGCGCCCCCGGCCGCCACCCCGGGCCCGCTTGCCCCGGCGGCCGCCGCTGCCCCTGGAGCTGCCGCTGCCGCGCCAGCACCGGGAGGCGCCTCCGCCGCGGCCGCCCCCGAGCTCTACAAGGCGACGGCCGAGAAGCTCCCCAGAGTGGCCCGCTGTCTGGTGGCATGGCGGCGGAGGGTGCCTCCGCGCATGAGGCTCCCGCTCCCTCGAGCGGCAGCCCTTGCCCTGGCGGGCTTCCTTCGCCACTTGGGCCACCCGCGTATGTGCATCTGGGTGGCGCTCACGTTCGTCGTCTACCTGCGGCCGCTCGAGACTTTCCAGCTGCGCGGCTCGCACTCGGTGGCGCCGAAGATCGCGGCCGGCCGCTGCTACAGCTCGCGGGGGCTGCTCCTCCACGACGCGTCGGTCGGAGACCCGGGCAAGACGGGCATGTTTGTCGCAGCTGTCTTGCTCGACCGCTGCGACTGGCTGCTGCCCTCGCTGGAGGCCCTCAAGGCCCAGTCGCATCCCGACGGCAGCCTCTCGGACTTTTCGCCCGCGGAACTGCAGCGCCTCTTCGCGTCGCTGGTGCAGATCCTCGGCCTCGACCCGCTGTCGCCTCACCTCTACTCGCTGAGGCGCGGCGGCGCGAGCGACGACCTCGTGACTGGCACCAGGAGCCAGGAGCCAGGAGGAGGTCAAGGTCCGAGGCCGGTGGGCCACACCAGTCTCAAAAGGTACGGCAAGACCACGCGCCTCCTCCTGGAGATGGCGAAGGTGCCCGAGGACGTATTTGTGCTGGGACGCGCCGTGGAGGCGAACTTCAGCAACGTGGTGTCCGAGGGCTTCGCGGGTCCGCTGTCGGCGGTGTGGTTGCTCTCGCGCCTCGCCGCTGTTTTGGGCCCAGGCAGCGCCGTCCGCCGCGGCCTGCGGGCGATTTCTCCGAGGGCGAAGTCCGCAGGTGTCTACAGCGCTGCGTCAGGGCTAGCGCTACTCCGCAAGGCCGTTCCATGAAGAGGCTGGTCTTCTTGGAGTTATTCTCAGGTGCTGGCAGAGTTGGAGACGCCTTGCGCGCTCAGGGATATCGCTCTCTCTCTCTCTCTCTCTCTTTCGATATTGTGCACAGTGCGAGAGAAGACCACCTTGATCCGTCCTTGATAGAGTCATCAAAGGCTGACTCTCCTCAGGCTTTGTTGCAGCGCTTTGGCTCGGCACGCCTTGCACTTCTTCTCGTTTCTCTCTTGCAGTCTGGGTTTCGCTCAGCGGCGGCACACGTCGTGTTGCCTTCGCGCTCTCACCACGATAGATATGCATCGTCCTGGTCAGTGTAATAAGCGCCCTGGCTATATATATATATATATATATATATATATATATATTATATATATATATATATATACACACACACATATAACGGCGCACCGGGTCCGGGGGCCCGGGGCCGGGACCTCGACCACAAATGTGGGCTCCGGGGGGCCCGGAGGCTCGTCGGGGCTTGCCGGAGGCCTCCCCGGTCAGACAAGACGGCCCCAGGAGCGCCCAAGACGGCCCAAGAAACTTCCAAGAGGCCTCCAAGAGGGCTCCGAGATGCTGAAGATGGCCTCCAGACGTCCAAGGACGCCCCCAAGAGGCCCCAAGAAGCCTCCAACATGCGTCCCAAGAGGGCCCCTAGACGCAAACATTGGCCCATTCCCTTCGTAAAACGTACATTTTCAACAAAGTTGTCTTTTGGGCTTTCCGACGTTACAGGACGGCCCAAGAGGCGCCCAAGACCGCCCCAAGACGGCCCAAGAAGCTTCCAAGAGGGCCCCAGGACAGCCCAAGAGGGCCCCAAGACGGCCCAAGAGGCGCCCAAGATGGCCCAAGAGGGCCCCAAGACGGGCCCAAGAGGGGGCCCAGAGGGGGACCACGAACCGCAAGCTCGAGCCTTCCGCCCCAAGAGGCCGCCAGGAGGCCCCCAGGAGGCCCCTCAAGAGGCCCCAGGAGACCCCAGACGTCCAAGGACGCCCCCAAGAGGCCCCAAGAAGCCTCCAACATGCGTCCCAAGAGGGCCCCTAGACGCAAAAATTTGCCCATTCCCTTCGTAAAACGTACATTTTCAACAAAGTTGTCTTTTGGGCTTTCCGACGTTACAGGACGGCCCAAGAGGCGCCCAAGACCGCCCCAAGACGGCCCAAGAAGCTTCCAAGAGGGCCCCAGGACAGCCCAAGAGGGCCCCAAGACGGCCCAAGAGGCGCCCAAGATGGCCCAAGAGGGCCCCAAGACGGGCCCAAGAGGGGGCCCAGAGGGGGACCACGAACCGCAAGCTCGAGCCTTCCGCCCCAAGAGGCCGCCAGGAGGCCCCCAGGAGGCCCCTCAAGAGGCCCCAGGAGACCCCAGACGTCCAAGGACGCCCCCAAGAGGCCCCAAGAAGCCTCCAACATGCGTCCCAAGAGGGCCCCTAGACGCAAAATTGGCCCATTCCCTTCGTAAAACGTACATTTTCAACAAAGTTGTCTTTTGGGCTTTCCGACGTTACAGGACGGCCCAAGAGGCGCCCAAGACCGCCCCAAGACGGCCCAAGAAGCTTCCAAGAGGGCCCCAGGACAGCCCAAGAGGGCCCCAAGACGGCCCAAGAGGCGCCCAAGATGGCCCAAGAGGGCCCCAAGACGGGCCCAAGAGGGGGCCCAGAGGGGGACCACGAACCGCAAGCTCGAGCCTTCCGCCCCAAGAGGCCGCCAGGAGGCCCCCAGGAGGCCCCTCAAGAGGCCCCAGGAGACCCCAGACGTCCAAGGACGCCCCACGACGCTTCGCGTCACGAATTTCTTCTCACAACGATTCCTGGGTCTGTGACTCGACAGAACCTAAGCGCGCGCGAAGCGCGCGCGTGGTAGTATATATATATATATATATATATATATATATATATTATATATATATATATATATATATATATATATATATATATATATATATATATCACGGGGGAGCAGGCCCGGGGCCCGAAAACAGCTGCCTCGACCCTCCATGGGAGGACCGGGGCCCATTTTCCTTGTGTTTTTATAAGGTTTCCGCGTCATGGGCCTCGGAGGCCGCCGGTTCCGACTCCTCGTGGGAGGACGGGGCGGCCGGGGGGGTCCAAAATAGTCCAGGAGGCCTCCAAAGGCTCCCAAGACGGCCCAAGCGGGCCCCGAGTCGCCGAAAGACCGCTCCAGGACGCCCAAGATAGGCCCAAGACGGCCCGAGAGGCCCCCCAAGGCACTCCACGACGCTTCAAGACGCTTCTCCAGAGCGCTTCAAGAGGCCGAAATCGTCAATGTCACGAAGGTTTTCGAACGATTTTGACCTTCCAGCTTTTTCGGCTGTCCGACGTTCCAAGACGGCTCAATAGGCCCCCAAGAGCGCCCCAAGACGGCCCAAGAGGGCCCCAAGGCGGCCCCAGAGTCGCCCAAAACAGCTCAACAGAGCCCCAAGACGGCCCCAAGATGCGCCCAAGAGGGGGACCACGACTCCAAAGTTCGACCCGCCCGCTTGAAGAGTGCCCCAGGAGGACCCAAGGAGCCCCCAAGAGGCCCCAGGATGCCCCCAAGAGGCACCCAGGAGGCCCAAACGAGGCCTACAGAGGCCACGAAACAGCCCCGAGGAGGCCCCACAACGGTCCCAAAACGGCTACGGAGAAGCTGCGAAATTGCCTTCACGACGTCCCCGACAGGCCAACCACGAGATCCAAACCAACACCCATGAGGCCTCTGACCCACCACCCAGGGCACGGTGGCGGGGGCAGTGGCAGCACTTGTGCACAGCATGTTCCGGCGGGAGCCTTCCGGAACACGCTGCAGGAGGAGGAGGAATGTCAGGAGGAGAGAGAGTTGGAGTGGGAGGAGGAGGAGGGGGACGAGGAGAAGGAAGAGGCCTCCAAGACAGCTCCAAGATAGCCGAAGAGGCTTCCAAGAGGGCCCTGGGCGGCCCACGAGGGCCCCAAGGCAGTGCCTGACGCGCCCAAGACGACCCGAGAGGGCCCCAAGACGGCTCCAAGAGAGGCCCAAGAAGGGAAACACGAACCGAGAATCCGAGCTTTCTACCCCGAGAGGTTCTCGGGAAGTCCCAAGAGGCCCCCAATCGGATCCAAGAGGCCCCCAAGAAGCTCCCAAGAGGGCCGACGAGGTTCCAAGAGATCTTCCAAGATGGTCCCTAAGAGGCACAACTCATTGGTTTACGATTGGGCTTTGACGGGTTTTAATGTTTTTGTTCGGCCTTTTGGCATCCCGATGCTCCAAGACGGCCCAAGAGGCTTCCAAAACCGCTCCAATATAGAGGAAGAGGTCTCCAAGAGACCCCCAAGACGGCCCGCGAGGGCCCCAAGACGGTGCTTGAGGCGCCCAAGACGGCCCGAGAGGGCCCCAAGAGCCCCAAGAGGCCCAAGAAGGGGAACGCGACCCAACAGCAGAGCGTTCCCCCCAAAAGGCCCACAGGAGGCCGCAAGAGGCCCCCAAGTGGTCCGACGAGGACCCCAAAAGCTTCCCGAGGGCCTAAAAGGCCCCTAGGAGACGTCCAAGAGGTTTTAAAGTAGCCTAAAAGTGCCCTCGATGCGTCAAAACTGCTTCCAGCAGGCCCCTGGAAGGCTTCCTGATTGCCTCAATCTGGCCGCAGTTGGCCTCAAGTCGGGCCTCCACGCAGCCAAGACGGCCAATGACGGCTTCAGATTGCAGAACCGATGCCCCCAAGGGACCCTCAGACGCCC